ATGATTAAAACCAATGCGTAGTGGACCAATGATGTATAGCCCAATTATAAGATGGATTGTTATTTAATGAAAAGGAATGATACAGACAACTATATGGATGGATTTCAGAGGCATTAGGCTGAATTAAATATGCCAGTTTTAAAAATTTGCACACTGTGTGATTCCATTGATAGAATATTCTAGAAAAAATTGTATAAGGAAAACACATTATGAATGAAGATGTAATGAAAACAGTGATTGCCATAGGTAGGTTAGGAGTTGGGGATGAGATTTGACCACAATGGATAACACAGACGGTTTTATTTGGAAGGTAAAAGACCAGTTCTATATTTTGATGATGGTAGAAGTTGTACAAATATACATGTTAAAAATCAGCCATGGGGACCAGCAGATGGGGTAATGGTTATATCGCTAGACTCCCATATAGTTGACTACAGTTTGAGTCCCAGACTTGGAGGCTGAAAATCATACCAGGTGCATGTGTGTGCATGCCCAAAATCCCAAGAGGAGACTGGAGGAAAACCCGACTGCGTCATGGCTATTGCCTCTAGGGGGTAATTTCTCGCTTTCTGTCTGTCTCTCTGGCAAGTACATGCGCCCCATAGCAAAAATCTCTCTCTCAAAAAAAAAAAATTAGTAATGTACAGACAAAATGCTAATTTTACCACCATCATCCTCATCTTTATCTATTTTTTTTTTGGCTATAGATGACATGCACTCATCAGAGAGATCTATAGACAAAGAGAGAGAGAGAGAGAGAGAGAGAGTGTGAAATCATCTTCCAGGATGGATGGTCATGCCACAGTCCCTTCTCTTCTATCCTCTTCTTGGGATTTTGGACATGCACACATGACTAGCATTATTGTCCAGCCACCAGGTCCTGGATTCAAACCATGAACTGGCCATGTGGGAATCTAATGTCTTAACCTCCATGTCACCTACTGGCCCTGTGCTCATCTTTATAAAAAGAAATACAACAAAAACAAACAAAAAACCAGAGTGCTTATTATGCTTACTGAAAGCATTTTTAAATAATATTCTAATGATAGTGGTATTCCTGACAATATAAATGTCCCTTTAATGAAAAATGGATTTGTTTTTATAGTTACTAGGCTTACAAAGAAGGTGAAACAATACAGCTTCTGCTCAGGAGCTAATAGCTGGGGTGCTGTGTAAGAGTGTAGGGGTATTCCAAGTTATGTGTCCCCCAGCGGTTGTAACTTGGTCATTCTGTGCATATGGAACATTCTGCCGTTCTTTATGGTAATCACTTTGCTGCTTTGGTGTATATATATGGTGTGTGACAGTTACAGTGGCTGTGGGAACCATAACTTTTAGTTCGGTGACTTTTCTATGAGTAAAACCAGCCATAATGTTGAATTAACGTCGTTCCTCATGTTTAATTTCCACGTTGTTATAAGTGGAAGTCTTATTACGTATTGGAATAAATGCTCTGTTCATTCTTGATCGCACGTGAATGGGAATACTTATGTGGACTTATCTTGTTATTTAATTAATGTCATCATTAAGTACAGTGAGGACAATTTGGGAGAACCTAGAGGGTACGTGGGCCAAGAGACGATGTGATTTAAGCTTCCATTCATTCACTTCTCCACTGGAAACTGAGAGGACCTTCAAAAAGCTGCTGGAAAAAATGTCCTATGTAATAACAATAATAAAAAAATCTGGGGCCAGCTGGTAGTATAGTGGTTAAGGTGACTGGATGACTGAACAGTTCAAGTCTCAGATCAAGCAGCCTGAAAAACATGCTGGGTGCATGTGTGTGCATGCCGAAAATCCCCAAAGGAGGAAGAAATGGAGGGGAAGGGATTGGGGCATGACCAGAACCCATGGGTGGTAGTTTCTCTCACTTCCTTTCTCTGTCAAACACCCTGTAAAGCATCCTCTGGCAAAATTAAAAAGCAAAAACAAAAACAAATTTTTTTGCATTGTGATAAATTTATACTTTTGTTTTTTTCTGGTTTTTTTTTTTTTTTTTTTTTTTTGAGAGATTTTTGCCATAGGGCGTGTGCGCTCGCCAGACAGACAGAGACAGAAAGTGAGGAATCACCCTCCAGGGGGGGATGGCCACGCCACAATTCCTTCTCCTCCATTCTCCTCTTGGGGTCTTGGGCGCACACGCACCCGGTGTGAGTTTTAAGCTGCCGGGTCCAGGATGCGAACCGCGGTCGACTACATGGGAGTCCAGCGACATAGCCATTATACTAGCTGCTGGTTCCTCATTACATTTTTTATGTAATTTTTGAAGTGCCTAGTAGAAGATAAACTTGTTAGATACCATCCTTGGTGAGTAACATAGAGTTGAAGCAGAAATTTGGACTGCAGCCCTGGCAGTTGTGTGGAATTGTCTTCAAGCAGGACTGGTTAGTTCAGTGGGGCACTATTTCCCTAAATAAAACTAAAGCTAACAGTGGGAGATCTTTTGTTTTTAATGACCTCAAAGTGTCTGATACTGCTGGTTCCTGCCGGCTGTGTGTGTGATAAAGTGGTTATTGGTATTGTAAATCAGGTAAAAATTGATCAAGTTTCTGGGAAATGATAATGTATGGTGTAAAAAGCATGCAAAGAAGTCTGTTTGACATTGGGAGAATTGAGTAAGCTTCTGATTTTGCCATAAAGCAGTTTCCAGACAATCCTGCCCAACTTAGAGTTTTTGTTTTGTTTGTTTTTTTTAAAGAGAGATTTCTTTTGCTGTAGGAAATGTGCACTCACCAGAAAGACAGAGACACAAAGACAAAAACTGAGAATTCACCACCCTCAAGAAGGATGGCCAAGTCACAATCCCTTCTTCTCTTCCCTTCTCCTTTCAGGGTTTTGGGCACGCATGCATACACGCCTGCCATGAATGTCAAGCCACAGGGTCTGGGACTTGAACTATGGTCAGCCACATAGGGGTTTAGTGCCTTAACCACTGTGGTACCTGCTTGCCTCAGAGTCTTTTCAAACATAGCAAGAAACAGAGGGAGAGGTCCTTTCTCATATCTCACAGTCAGATTTATTGAGAGTCGGGGCTCTTTTCTTGCCTAGGTAGTGGTGGTTCTTGCAGGGCCAGGTAGATACAGTGACTGAAGTGCTGGAGCCCTAGAAAAAGCCAGAAATGTCTGAAATCATGGTCCTGTGTGAGTTCACCGAACTGGACAAAACATACTTGTAGTCCAGGAACTTTAGACCTGGGGCTAGTGGGAGAAGAAGCAGTTGAACCGTAGATCTGAAAACTTGTAGTGTCTCTGTTTTTTCCAGCCATTAGGCTCTAAGCCTACATGTGATCAGGGCTCAGGTCTGCCCTGATTTACCCTTCTTTTTTCTTTCTTTCTTTTCTTTTTCTTTTTTTTTTTTTTAGAATTATGTATTTAATTTTATTATTATTTTTTAAAAATGTGCTACAGGGCACATGTGCTTGACAGAGAGCAAGCCACTGGGTCTAGGACTCAGACTGCAGTTGGCCATGTGAGAGTCCAGCACCTTAACCACCATGCCACCTGCTGGCCCTCTAGCCCATCTTACCACCGAATGCAGTTATGGGCCAGAGAACCCTTGCTTGCTTACAAGACCTCACTATCCCTTTTGGTGGTGGAACAATTGCTCATTGCATGAAGTTCCATTGGAGAAGAGAGAGTGTCTAGGAAGGCAGCCTATGATCCAGCAGAGTCTTTTAACTGTGCTCAAGACTCCCTTGATGGTGGTTGGGGATGAGAAAGACTAGTGTCGTCATCAGTGATGGGTCCCCTCGATGCTCGAATGGTTCTTGGTGTCTTAAGCGATCTCTGCAGGCCTGCTTCCTGTCTTCACCCAAGCCCATAACCTTGGCGGTAGCTATCCGTCTTTGGAGGAGAAAATTTGATGTTTTTACATGAGAAATCAGCTCTAACTAATGTTCAATGCCGACAGGAACATACCCCAGTTGCTGGAGGGTGGTCCACTCAAGTCCCTATCACTCCATTTGTCCCTAAAGGCGGCTGTCCTCAGATTTCATCCCAGAAATCCCATGAAGTCTTGGAGCCTTTGGGAGCCTCTTATTTGTATATGTACAAGCCGACACAATGAAAAATGTACTGTCTCTCCTCCTAATGGCTGCATTCATTGTCTTGAGGGATCATTTTCTGAGTTCACAAGGTATATTTAAGTTAGGAAACAGACATAACTCATTCTGAGATAACTTATTCAGAATTTGAGCTTCCTAGTTTGGGATTGATGATTGTCCAGTTGATAGACCTGTGACATTTGAATGGAGGAAGGCCTCATTTTGAAACACATTGTAGTGACTGATATGCTCTGTTCTCTGGAGCCTGAGTGGCTCAGTTACTTCTGGAAGCTGAGGGGCCAGACATACGCGTCCAGGGAGGGATCTGGCCCTATGGTGCTGCTGTTCCATTTCCTTTCTTGGGATCAAAGCTATTTGCATCCAACCATGCAAATGAACTAGGGGTGCCCAAGTGACCCAGCAAGGGAACAACGCTGGCCTTATCTACACTCAGATGACTTCAAGGCCACAGCCAGAGACACGTCACAGAGACCTCCTCTTATTGCCAGTCCTTGCCTCACAAAGAGGAAGACAGCCCATTCACCTGCAAATGGGAATGCAAATACCAGATTTCCAAAGCGGAAGACCTGATGGAGTCTATCTTTATGGACTGATTATATTTTGATTGTTTTATTTTTGAGAGAGAGATTTTTACTATAGGGTGTGGACATGTGTGCTTGCCAGAGAGACAGAGAAAACCAGGGACAAAAAGTGAAAAAGTGAAGTCACACCCTACCCCCCGCCCCTGCCAGGGGATGGTCATGCCTCAATCCCATCTCCCTTCCCCTCTCAGGATTTTAGGCACGCATGCACACACACCCAGCATGAGTTTTAAGTTGCCGGGTACGGGACTCAAACAGTGACCACCTAGTTGGGAGTCCAACCATATAACCATGACGCCATCTGCTGGTCCCACTTTTGATTTTTAAAGCTTTTTTTTTTTCCTTTTTATTTACAGAAGCCGTGTGGAAGTGGTGATCTGAATGCCTCTATGACATCGCAACATTTTGAAGAACAATCTGTGAGTGG